AGCGATGAAATTGGGTGCATTGTGATTTTCCGAGTATTTATGAAATGCTTCTGAGATGTTTTGTTCTTGTAGCGCCTAAGACGGGATGCGAAATTGTCCAGTGAAGAGCCCAAGGTTCCCCGAGCTATTGTTCTGTGTGCCACAAAGGAGCTTGCCGAGAAGGTCTAGTTCTGTCTTTTCTCTTTCCTTCCTAACCTTTTCATGCTGTCTCAAAGAATTGTAACGGTTCTCCTGGGATTGACATTAATGGGCTCTGCAGCTCCTTACTGTGGTAAAGTTCCTTCTCAAACCTGTGAAGTCGAAGACTACAGTGGAGGATGGTCAACTTGAGTCTAACGTTCAGGAAGATGCATCGGATGCTTCAGTTGGCCTATTGGTTACAACACCTGGTGAAGTGCTTCAGAAAATAGAGGAGGGTAGCGTTGTCCCTAATGAAATCAGATACTTGGTTAGTTCCCTTGTGCATTGTTTAGTTCAATTAGTACCAAAGTTCTCAATTTTCCTCGGATGTAGAAGTCTTCTTGTCTCTTTTGTTAGACTTGAAATTCTTTTTATGTCTTGTACTATATTGAATGATGACATTGATTTTTAATAGGTATTCGATGAGGTGGATGATATATTTAATCATGGCTTAGGTCCTGAGATTCAGAAATTCCTGAGTCCACTAAAGGAACATGCATCAAACTCTAATGATCAAAGTGTACAAACTATTTTGGTTACTTCAATGATAACAAAGGTGCGGGAGACTGGTCTGTCATCTTAGTTTTGGAATTCTTTCACACATTTTTAGGGACCGCTTGTTAGTTTTATTGAGTTTCTATATTTGCATAAAATTCTAGGTTCTACGTGAAGATCTATCTTCCCTTGTGGAGCATCTTGAAAGTAGTCACGCAGAAGTTGCCGCGATAACAGTTGAAATAGACCAAACAGAAGCATTTCATCTCCTCGAGTCACCAGAAGCTCTAAAGAAAAAAGCTGAAGAGGTCGTCCACTCTCTTCAGCCATCTTCATGAGGATCTCGT